CTTGGGGAGTGAATCATTGGACGGAAGAGCTTCCTCTCTGTCTCTCCTCCTCTCTGTATATCTGACCTTCCAATGAATAAATAAATCTTTTTTAAAAATCTGAATAAAAACAATGTGAAAATTTGTATTTGTAACTTACATTAATATTATCATGCAAAGCCATCTAAGTACTCATTGTATCTTGCTGTGCCTGGACATGTTACATTATCAAATTTGTGCTGCTTTATTATCACATTTCCCTTTATTTCACTTTCATGTTACAGTTGGGAATTCAGGTTTCTAAATCGTGTACACGAATGCAGAAAGATCACATTCATGAATACACACATTTGAATAATGTTTACAGAGCCCCTATTTAATGTTCTAATCATTGCTCTAAGCATTTTAAATATATCTGATAACAAATATCCAGATGGCAAAAATGTAACAAACAAGCTAGTTAAATATCTTTTTCTTTTTTTTTTTAAGAATTTAGATGGCCTTTATTCTGGGAACCATGGTCACGGGTTTCCCTTCTCCATGCAGCAGAAAGACAGACATGAAGGAGAGGGCTACAGAGGAAGAAGCACCTAGTTAAATTTACAGAAGATAAAGCACAGTAGGGTAAGATGGACTGAGAATGCTGGAAGCAAAGTGCAGCATTAATTAGGTAGTCAGAACATCCTCCTGGGTAGAGGGGAGATAAGCAAGCAAAAAGGGGTGAAAGTCACAAGCAGGGAATATCCGTAGCATTAGTAACAAACAGCAAGGCGAAGACAGCTGTGTCATCACCATGGAACCAATAAAGGTAGGAGAGAAAACAGAACTACAAATGACAGTGGTCTATGTAGTCCATACTTACTAAAGACACTGTTAGCGCTCTGACTGAAATACAGTAATATTTCTTAAACTTTTTTTTTTTTAATAAAAGTCATATATACAGAGAGGAAGAAAGACAGAGAGGAAGATTTTCCCATCCAATGATTCACTCCCCAAGCGGCAACAACGGCTGGAGCTGAGCCGATCTGAAGCCAAGAGTCCAGAGCCTCTTCTGGGTCTTCCACACAGGCGCAAGGTCCAAATGCTTTGGACCTTCCTTGACTGTTTTCCCGGGCAACATGCACGGAGCTGGATGGGAAGCAGGGTCTCTAGGATTAAAATTGGCACCCATATGGGTCCTAGCACGTTCAAGGCAAAGACTTTAGCCACAAGATTATTGCACCAGGCCCCAAATACAGTAGTATTTTAAAAGGTTTGGAGCACTGACGTGGCCTGATCTGAATTAAGTTTTACAAGGACTACTATGTTCTGGGGCAAACATCGCATGTTAGGTTAAGCCTCAGCCTGCAGTACAGGCATACCATACTGGTGCAGGACTGAGTGCCTGCTGTTCCACCCATGGTCCAGTTCCCTGTAAACGGCCTGGAAAAGCATCAGAGCATGGCCCAAGTTCTTGAGCTCTTGAATCCACAAATGAGACCTAGAAGAAGTACCTGTCTACTGGTATTAGACTAGCCCAGCTTCAACCATTGTGGCAATTTAGGGAGTGACCCAGCAGATGGAAGATCTCTCTCCTCCTCTCTAAATCTGCCTTTGAAATAAAAATAAATAGGGCCTGTTGGGTAGCTCAATGATTAAGTCCTCACCTTGCAAGCGCCAGGATCCCATATGAGTGACAGTTGATATCCTGGCTGCTCCATTTCCCAACCAGCTCCTTGCTTGTGGCCTGGGAAAGCAGTAGAGGAATGTCCAAAGCTGTGAAATCCTACACCTGCAGTTTGAATTCACTCAGTTCCAGCCACTGTGGCCATTTGGGGGGTGAACCAGTAGATGGAAGATCTTTTTCTGTCTCACCTTCCCTCCATAAATCTGATCTGTTTTTCTAACAAAAATAAATAAATCTTAAAAATTATTTTTTGGGCACTGGCATTGTGGCGTGGTTAGTTAAGTCACTGTCTGGGATGCTGGGGTCCCATATGGGCTCTAGTTCCTGTTCCTATTACTCTATCTCTGATCCAGCTCCCTGCTAACGCATCTGGGAAAGCAGCAAAAGACGGCCCAAGTACTTGGGGCTCTGCTACCTCCATGGGAGTTGAAGTCCAAGGCTTCAGGCTTGTCTGACCCAGTGCGTGGCCCACAGCCACTATCTGAAAAGTGAACACACAGATGGAAGATCTCTCTTTCTCTCTCTCTCTCTCTAACCCTACACTTCAAATCAAAAAATCTATTGAAAGCAATTCTTGGACCATTAACTAGTGGAAATAAAGACAGTTGTAATGAGAGAATCTACTTACCTACCACTAATAATTTTTATTTCTTTTTTAAAAAGATTTATTTATATTATTTGAATGTCAGATATACTGACAGGAGGAGAGACAGAGAGATCTTCCATCTGCTGATTCACTCCACAGGTGGCCGCAAAGGGCGGAACTGAGCCAATCCGAAGCCAGGAACCAGGGTCCTCTTTCAGATCTCCCACATGAATGCAGGGTTCCAAGGCTTTTGGCTATTCTCTACTGCTTCCCAGGCCACAAGCAGGGAGCTGGATGGGAAACGGGGTCACCAGGACACGAACCATCACCCATAAGGGACCTGGCACATACAAGGCAAGGACTTTAGCCACTAGACTACCATGCTAGGCTCAATACCTTGTATTTCACATACATACATAAAATCATTACTCTTTATAGATTTAAAAAAAAAAAGCCAAGTGAAATGGAAATCATGTTGCTGATTTCACGTTTGGAGTCAAGTCTGTGTACTGTAAATGTTGTAGTGATCTTCGTTCAGATCAAAGTTTTGGCACAGTGGGTTAAGGCACTACTTGGAAAACTGCATCCTGTGTCAGAGTGATGGCTGGAGTCGTGGCTACTGCACGTCTGATCCAGCTTTGTGATGATAAACCTGGAAAGGCAGGACAATACAACCAAGTACTTCAGTCCCTGAGAGCAGAGTGGGAGATTCAGAGTTGGCTCTGGTTTCCTGACTCTAGGCCAGCCCATTAATGGCAACTGCAAGCATCTGAGGTGTAAACCAGCAGAGGAAAGGTATTCCCCTCCTTCTCTACCTCTTTCTCTGTCTCTGACTCTGCTTTATTCAAATAAAGAATTCCCTTGGAAAACACATTTTTATATATATTAGCCCAAGTATTCTTATACGAAAAATTATGCCTAAGGCTTCATATACAGGTAAAGCTGTTTGAACAGGTCAGAGATTTTTCAAACTGAAAGAATTGAAATACACTCTAGACAACATTTACCCCAAGTCTCTCTTCTTACAGATGAGGAAAGGACTTGCCAAAAGTCATAGAGTAAATCAGTTTCACTAAACTTAATAGTCTATGAACATATCAAAATTGTCTACGATTTTTTAAAAATTAAGACAAGTATGGTGACTACAATGCTACTTCCAGAAAACAATGACACCAGGATCAATGTCTATTTCACTCCCAGGCTAGGTTAAAATTACAATTATCAAAAATAAGTTATTTAGAATAAACTGAAATTTAAGAAAACCCCCAATTTTTTTCTTTCTTGCTGGGGGGCTCCAGATAGGCCTATTTTGCAGGAGAAGCAAAAAACAAGAGGAAGCACTATTTCTTCTAAAGGATTATCTGTTTTTACTGAAAAGGGAAAGTAACAGAAAGAGATCTTCCATCCATCAATTCATTCCCCAAATGGCCAGAATGGCCAGACTTGAGCCAAAGATCCCTCCAGGTCTCCTACATGGGTACAGGGGCTCCAGGACTTGAGCCATGTTCTGCTGTTCTCCCAGATCCTAAGCAGAGAGCAGGATCAGAAGTGGAGCCGCCAGGCTTAAAATGGAGCCCATGAAGGATGCCAGCACTAGAGCCATAGACTTAGCTTGCAATGTCACCATGTCGTACCCAAACTATTTACACCTATAAAAATAATTATTTTAAAGCCTTTTCACAGCTCTTTTTAATATAAAACACCTAAAGTCTACATACAAGCCATAGAAAATTAAAATTCAAGTCAAGATCAATTGCTTCAGATCAATAATAAACGAAAATCAAAATAAAACATCAGCTATAACAGAATCCTCAAAAAAATTCATTGAAAACATTATTTAAAAAAAAAAAACCTCTGCATGGATTTCACCAAACTTATCTTCTAGTTCTGTTTTTCCATGAACTTTTAAAAATACTCTTGTGCAACAATCTTATACGAAGATATTTTTAAAGAGACACTACAGATTTATAATTTTCAACTCATTAAAGTTCACTTTAAAAGGTTCTAAAAAATATGAAGTTAAAAGTCAGCACAATCCCAAAATAAATATGCCTGGTATTTAATAATACAGATTCCTTTACAATTGCCAACAAAATTTAAGTTACCTACATTTGATATAATATCTACTGGAATCCCTACATTCTGTCATCGTAAGGCTTTGGTATTACTATTTCTACAAGGAAAAAGCAGTAACTGAAAATACTTTAAAATTTTACATTTAATACTTCAGGTCTACCCATACTTTCTCCCACAGAGCACAGCTTTTTGTTAACCAACTCATAAAGTCCTCAGTATCAATCAAGAACAATAGGATGGCCTGCTAGGAAACTTAAATACTAGGTTACTTTGTAAGTTGTAAGAAGCAACTCAATTCAGACAGCGTCAAAACAAGCATTGTAGACAGACAAGATTAAAGACAAGATATTCCATCACCTGCTGTGCTCACTACTGCCTAACAGTAAGGAACACCATCAGTATCCACCGGCCCAAAGACCTAACAGACTTCTCCCAAAAGTATGGGAGAGCCAGTTCTAATTTTTCATAATCAAATGCAATTATGATGAAGTAAACTTCCACTAGATAAACAAGAGTCATTCTTATAGCCAGTATCCAAATGATGACAAAGTATACTTCGTAACATTTATTTTAGAATAGGGAAGGAAGTGTTAGCTTACTGTAAATTTTAACATCTTACATCTTGAATTACTAATCTGACAATTAAAAAAAAAAAACCTTAAAGCATTAAAACCCCACACCTGAAAGACTTACCATTTTATCTAGATGTTCAATGGATCTATAAATCTCCCCCTGGGATTCATCATAGTAACTGTAACGGAACCTTTGACCTTGAAACAAATATCATGTACAAAATAAAATAGGGAAAAATTAGAAGCTAAAAAGAAAGCAAGCGCTTACCAAATCATTTCAGTTCTCATGAAAGGCACAGCACAGCTTAAGCCTCTGAGAGATTTATTCCCAAGAGCCTCACACATAAAAATAAGAAGGCAGATTTGGGAATGTAGTAAGGAAATGATATATCATCAGGCTTTATGATGCTAAAATTTATTTCAAATTGTAGAAACCTTAAAATCACCAGCAACCGAAGATTAATGAAACAACACAGCTTGAAAGTTAAAAGCACTGTAAAACATTGTATCAGTCTATAATGGAAACACAAAGAATGACTTAGGAAACTACTACTGCAGTGTAATAAATCAAAGCTTAGCTTTGGCTTACAAATGCAAAGATCTCATCTCCACTATAGAAGAGAAAAAAAAAAAGTGTGGGATTTGTGTGCTCTGCATGACCTTGGGGGAAAAAAAACTCAGTTGGAGAAAGATCGATACTAGTACCTTACACAACATGAATAAGATACACAAAAGGATAAATTTAATAGTCCTACCCTGACATAAACTTTCAGTCAGAGGACAAGCACAGAACTTTCAGTGTTTAGCTGTTCTCCAAAGAACAGAGAAAGTCAAGTGTGGGAAGCTTAAAAACAAAAGACTCCAAAAGTAAATTCTCTCCTACTTTAGTCACAGGAACATAAAAAGTTAGTATTTCAGATACACCTAAATCTATCTTTGAGCAATGCTTTTTTCCCAATAACTTACTACTTTTATCTAACCTTTCTGTCAAAGACTCTCTAAAATGCATTTCCTGAAGCATCAGAGTATATCAAACACATATACACACTACACATCTTTAAGGTTTTTTACATGTATTATGCTTCATGTTTAAAATGAAATTAACATATTAAACTCGTTTTCTTTCCCATCTAGGAAGATAGGTTTCTTTGGTTGAATAATCATGATTTCTAAGCTGTGTGTGCCTTATTAAAGATAAAATCCTATGAATAATATGCAGTTTAATATTTCAAAAGTCTCTGATTCTTGGTGTTTTTTCTTTTTAGTTTTGATTTTGTTTAGAAAAATCATTGTCCCAAAGTTTAACACTTTATTCATCTGTTGATGTTGGTATCCTTCATGGACACTTTTCTAAAATATACCACATTTCTTAATTTCCACATTTTAATTTTTCATACATGTTAACATACACAATTACTCCATGTGGTAATTTTTTTTCCAAGTAACTATTATTAGACAGTATCACATCACATAATTGATGGCTGTATTAAAACAGAAAAAGGTCTGAAATAATACCAGCTCCCTGAATATAACAACTACTGCACGTTGCTATGGAGCTATGAGATGTATAGTCTTTGAACTAAAAAAAAAATCCTTGAGGCTAAAATTGATCATTTATCAGTAATTGTTTTGATACTAATGATTAGAACAGCTCTTTCAAAATGCAGTTGATTGCAGCATTTTCTTTAATGAAAAAGCTACTAATGAGAATTTATTAAAAATAACTATACAATAGACACTATTTTGGTCATTTGTCAAGAAGCTCCAACAAGGCTATTCAAAAATAAATCTAAAGTTCAATCACTTCCAATAACTTAGTGATTTAATTCACTAGCACTAAATTTTTACTTATGTTTAAAAGCTCTCTTGACAGGTTGGGCCTGGCAACAGCAGCCTAGTAGCTAAAGTCCTTGCCTTGCATGCATCGGGATCCCATATGGGCACCAGTTCATATCCTGGTTGCTCCACTGACCTTCCAGCTCCCTGCTTGTGGCCTGGGAAAATAAAGAGGATGGCAAAGCCTTGGGACCCTGCACCACATGGGAAGAAGCTCCTGGCTTCTGATCAGGTTGGACCGGCTCAGCTCCGATCACTGTGGCCTCTTAAGGAATGATCCTGTGGATGAGATCTTTTCCTTTATCTCTCCTTCTCTCTGCAAGTCTGACTTTCCAATAAAAATAAATAAATCTTTAAAAAAAAAAAAGTTCTCTTGATAAAACTGCTCCAATTTTTTCCACAAAGAAGAATTGAATGAACATCCCAGACAAGAATTTCAACCCACTATCAACAGGACAACAAGGTTAACACAACCTTGCTTATTTTTAAAAAAGTAAAGTGCTTCAGATCTGTACTAATATGAGAGTACTTCAAAAAATGTATAGAATACATATTATTATGAAATGACGTGGATTTCAAAAAAACTTTTGCAGAACTTGTATGATCTTTATGATCTTGAGGAGAAAAATAAATAAACTTGCCTTTTAATTCCACAAATTTTTTGAAGTACCTTCATATCCATTCTTCTAGAAATAGCTGCCAGTTTCAGCTTCTGTCAACATGTTAGTTTTATTAACATGTCTGGGACATGCGATCTTATCAGAAGACTGCTACTCCCAGGTAGACAGGAAATGCAGAGATTGGGGACAGCCTTTTGTCTTCAAAAATCTCTTCTCTGCTTTCCTACAAGGTCCAGAGCTGTAGTTTCAAATGGCTCCAGCTGGCCAACCTGGCCTTAATAAGAGAAAAGTACAACTACATTTTTAAGTGCTATTTTATTCATACAAATCATTTATATGTAATTTTCATTTAAAAGCTACTTCAGTAAAGAAATAAAAATACATGGATTCTTGGAAAAATTTCTGAATACAAATTAGCGTGTGTCTTAATGACACACATGGAGAACTAATTTGAGTAAACACTTCACTACGTATTTCCCTAACCTGTGGTAGCCATTTCACATTTAGTAACTGAAAAACTAAGTATAAATATTGGAATTGCTCTAAAGAATATACCAGTTAAGAAAACCAAATCCATACTACTGCATTATACTGAATAAGCATTTTACTTTTAATAACCCAAACTGCCTCACAATACTCCTTAAGAAAAGGTAAAAATAAAGACTTCTTTAAGAAGGCATTCAGATCAATATGCATACAGAAAGCATGTAATGTGAAGCATTCAGATGCCATCACTGCACTTAACTACTGTGTATATGGATTTGTCCGGGTGTGCACATGAGCACACACATCAACAAACACACCTTTTGTCAATCAGCACATGAAAACTGAGTTCAAAAGACCTTCTTTCTTTCTTACTTCTATTAAAAATAAGTTTCTCAAGATCTACTTAGTAAACCAAAGAATATTTGATAGATCAAAGCAAATTATTGAACTAGCACAATACGAACACATCTTTATATATTTATTTTTGCTTTAAAATAAAGACACTTCATTCTCATAAGCACAAACATTTCATTTACAAGTTCTCATAATTCTGACATTCAGCAAAGGCTATGAATCTGTGAACAAGCGTGCTTGGCTAAACCTGGAGAACTGGACTTGTGCACTGTTACACGTATGAATAAAGCATATCACATAGTAAGAGAAAATTACTTACCTGAAACTTATCCTTTCAGAAGGTACACTGGGAAAATGGATTCTTTGAGCCCCTGTTTCAACTCCAAGTATGAACTTTCTAGCTTTAAGAGCCATTGACACTGCCCCTAGGGGCAGAACAAGCTTTGGAACTCCCCTAGTGAGTGTGTCAGTAGGTTCTTCAGGTGCCTTCCCTCAGTTCTTTTCAAATTCAAAAGATGAGAGGAAAAAATAACCCAAGAAAAACATCCTGTAAAGCAGAAACCTTACTCTTTGAGGGAAGGAGGGTAGCTCATTTGTGAATCCATTCCAGAGCACGCTTTCTGAGAAAAAGAAATACAGGTAAGTAATTTTCCCATCTCCAAAGGTGACTGGTGATTAATGAGTGGATTCACAGAGTGTGAAGAGTAAGCTCCAGGTATGTCTGTTTAACACACAACAATCAACTAATGAGGACAAACAGAACAATGGATGGTACGAGAACCAAACACCTCAAAAAGCAGAAAATAAGAATATTTCTAATATATTAACTACCTCAACATTACGTTGTGCTCTGGACTGCTAGAATAAACAATGACTTTGGAAAACTAATCTATAAAACTCAGTGAGACAGACCTCCAGACACATGTCCCATCGAAATGTACTAGTACAAACTTTATTAATCATTTTTATATGTTAAACTATTTTTCAAATATTTGAGTTACATCTTACAACAAGTGAGATAGATTATTAGGCCATTCTAGATCAAGGACTTGACTTGGGGCTTTCATAACTGGACTCACTACCTGAGAAAGCCTGCATTTCATAGAGGAAACATTGTCAATGCAGCACCAAACCAAGCAATCATTTTGAAAAGCTAAACACTATCATCTTCTCATCCACGCAGAACTTTCAGCTTTACATTAACCCCACCAAAAATTCTCTAAAAATATGTATGTACATGAATAAATTTGGGGAGATAAACATGAGGATTTGGGTAAAAAAAAACATTTTGGAAGTTAGCTAACTTATATTCAAACCAATTTATATACTTAGGAAATACTTCATACCCTTAATCTAAAGAGACTATTAGAAAGGGAAAAGAATAAAAGCAAAGAATCACTTACTGATATATTTCAAAGAAGAAAGTTATATAAAGTTACAACTTTAATAAATATTTAGGAAAAGGCTACAGTGGTATATTTTGTAAAATAATTATATAGACCTAAATCAGTAAGTTCTTGGAGAAAAACCAAAATTACCAAGGAGACTATAGAGAAACTTCATGCACATTATGACAAAATAATCGGTCATAAACATTACCCAGTAAACTTACTGAAATAAACTTGCCAAGCCACAAAGGCAAAGCAAATAGAAACATAATTCCACGTTTAAAGAATCAATTCATCTTAGGTTCAACTTCATTTAGAAATGTCTTAAAAATTAACGATAAAGTATGTAAAGGAAAGCTATCAGTAAACTAAATTTGAAAATATAATTTTCAGGAATATCAGAAAAACACAAATATGGAGAAAACTAAACCCCAACCTTGAAGGTAGGAGCATTTGGCCAGCACAGCAGTTACAAACATCAGCTCAGGTGCCAGTGTTTCACAGCATAGTACAG